AGATGGTCCACTTTTACCATTTCTATTCACTGTAGTACCTGAAGCGCCAAAAGAAAGAAATAAAGACATCCACATTGAAAAGAAGGAAATAAATTTGTTCCTGTTCATCTATGGCATAATCTAATATACAGAAAGATTCCACCAAAAAAAGTCTTAGAAGTGATAAACAGATTCAGTAAAGTTGCAAGGTATAAAACCTGCATTAAAAAACCAGTAGTGGACCAGCCTGTGGCCTCATGCCTGATACCACATGCCTGACCACACAGTTTGAGTTCTGGACCCGTGGATTGGACAGTATGCAGGGCATATATGCATGTGTGCCCAAAATCCCAAAAGGAGGAAGAAGTGGAGGAGAAGGGATTGTGGTATGACTATTCCCCAGAGGTGGTGCTTTCCCCCCTCCTCTCTCTTTCACTGTATCTCTTCTCTTGCTAGTGAGAACACATGCCCTGTAACAAAATTTATTTTTAATAGCATATTTATATACCAATAAAGAATTAACTGAAAAGGAAGTAAAAAAACTAATTCCACCTATAATAGCTACAAAAAATTAAAATAGCTAGGAATAAATTATATCCGAAAAGCAAAAGACCTTTACAATGAAAACTATGAAACACTGTTGAAATAAAACACACACACACAAATGAAAGACATACCATCTTCATAAATGGAAAGAGTATTGTTAGAATGCCCATACTACCCCAAATTACCTATAGATTTATTGCAATCCCTATCAAAATATTTAATACCAATGGCATTCCTCAGAAAAATCTTTCAAAATTTGATAATTTGTATGGAACCACAAAGGACTCTGAATAACAAAAGCAATCATGAACAAAAATTACAGGAGTCAGTAGATGACATGGTAGTTAAGACACTGGATTCTGACATGGTCCATCATGGTTTGAGTTCCAGACACATGGCTTGAAAATCCATGGTACATGTGCATGCATGCCCAAAACCCAGGCACATGTGCATGCATGCCCAAAATCCTAAGAGGAGAAGAGAGGAGAAAGGACTGTGACATGGCCATCCTCACTAGAGGCTGATTTCTCACTTTCTTTTTCTCTGTCTCTCTGTCTTTCTCTGGTGAGCACACATGCCCTATGGCAAAAACCTAAAAAAAAAAAATAAAATAAAAACAAAATTACAGGGCTGGAGGATCACACTACCTGACTTCAAAATATACAAAGCTATGATAACCAAAAGAGCAAGTTAATGGCACCAAAAACAGACACATGAACAAATGGAACTGAAAAAAGAATCCAGAAATGAACCCACATATTTACAGCAACCTGACTTTTGACAAAGTTGTCAAGGCCTTTTATTGGAAAAATGACAGTGTCATCAATACATAATTCTGGGAAAATTGTATATCTTTAATGCAGAAGAATGAAACTACACCCTTTCTCTAACTATACACAGAAATTAATTCAAAATGGATTAGACTTAAGCATAAGAATCAAAATGTTGAGACTAACAAAAGAAAACCTAAGGGAAACACTTCAGGACACTGGATAAGACCTCAAAAGTTTTTGGATAAGACCTCAAAAGCACAGGCAACAAATGAAAATATAAAACTATAAAATTATAATAAAATAAAGACCTTCAGCATAGCAAAGGTAAACAGCAGTGAGGAGATAATCTGTCAAAAAGGAGAAAATATGCATTCAACAAGGGATTAATAACCAGAATAAAAAAGGAACTCAACAGCAAAAAAAGCCCAAATAATCTGACTTGAAAATGGGCAAATGATCTGAACATAAATTTCTCAAAAGAAGACATACAAATTGCCAACAAGTACAAAAAATGCTCAGTATCACTAATCATTAGAGAAATGCAGATCAAAACCTCAATGAGATATCTTACTCCAGTTCTATAGCAGTTATCAAAAAAGAAAACTATCCAGGGTTAGATACGACATAGAGAAAGGGGAACTCGTTTACACTATTGATGGGAATGTAAATTAGTACGGGCATTATGAAAAACAGTATGAGGTTTCTCAAAAAACTAAAAGTGGAACTGCTGAACGATCTAGCAACCTACTATAGGCATATATCCATAGGAAATATAATTAATATATTGTAGAGAATACCTGTACTCTAGTGGTTAGTTTAACCCTATTCACAATAGCCAGGTTATGGAATCAATATCAAGAGTCCACGAGGAGATAATAAAAAAAATTACACCACACACACACATACACACAATTAATAAAATACTACTATTCAGTCATTAAAAAGAATAAAATTCTGTTATTCATGGCTGCATGGATAGCCCTGGAGGACTTTATGATGTTAAATAAATAGACATAAATAGAGAAAAATCACATGTCCTCAGTCATATATGAAAACTAAAAAAACTGTCCTCACAGAAAGAGAATATAATACTGGCTAATAGAGACTGGAAGGATCAGAAGTAGGGAAGAACAGGAAAATGTCATTTAACAGATACAAAATTACAGTTAGATAAAAGAAATAAGTTCTTGGGACCAGCAGTTAGCGTAATGGCTAGGTCACTGGACTCCCATGTAGTCGACCACAGTTCGCATCCCAGACCCGGTGGCTTAAACTCACGCTGGGCACGTGTGCATGCATGCTCAAGATCCCAAGAGGAGAATGGAGGAGAAGAGATTGTGGCGTGGCCATCCCCCCTGGGGGATGATTTCTCACTTTCTATCTCTCTGTCTCTCTCTGTCAGTCTGTCTGTCTGCACATGCCCTATACCAAAAACCCCTAAAAAAAAAAAAAAAGAAAGAAGTTCTTGTGTTCTATAGCACAGAAAGGTAACTATAGTTAACAGTAATTCATTATATATATTGCAATATCACAAAAGAAATTATTTTAAATGTCTCCAGTACAGGGCAATGATAAGTGCTTGAGATGATGAACATGCTAATTATGTCAATTTGATCAAACACATTGTATTCATATACTGAAAAAAAAATCACACTGTGTTCCATTAACATATACTTTTATTGGACCAGCATGTGATGACTGGACTCCCACAAGATCAACCACAGTTCAAGTCCTGGACCCAGGGGCTTGAAATTCATACCATTTCTCTTTCTTTCTTTCTTTCGTTCTTTCTTTCTTTCGTTCTTTCTTTCTTTCGTTCTTTCTTTCTTTCGTTCTTTCTTTCTTTCGTTCTTTCTTTCTTTCGTTCTTTCTTTCTTTCGTTCTTTCTTTCTTTCTTTCTTTCTAATTTTTTTCACATTAAAATTTTATTTTTTCCTATTTAATATTCTCTCAATATACCTGAAAGAAAGTAAAAGGTTGATAAAATTTTACATTCACAATGCAGTTTTAAAAATCTAATTGCTCTCATTTACTTTGAATTTGAAATTCAGCAGTCACTATACTGTTGTCTCCTTCTGTCTCCCTGGAAACCTCAAAAATAATAAATAAATCCTGAAATATTAAACATATAATTGAATCACTTCTCTTGAAAATTTCTATGATGCATAAAATTTGAATTTGTTATTTTCTTAGCTGACTCTTCTATATGTTTCTTTTAAGGTTACACAGGGAAACAGATTTCACATGGATGACTGAGGTTCAAATTCCAGCCCTGGTGGCTTGAAGGACACGCTGGGTGTGTACCTGCATGCTCAAGATACTGATGGGGTAGAGATATGGAGGAAAAGGGATTGTGCCATGACCATTCTCCACTAGGGAGTGCTATCTCTGGCAAGAACATATGTCTTCTGGCAATTAAAAAAATAGCTCACTAGCCAGGAAAGACACAAAGACAAGGTTCACTCTACAAATATCGACTCATCAGTTTTATAACAAAAACAAAAGTATTAAATAGTACTTTAATAATCTGGAAATAATTCTTTGATCCAATGCATTTAGAAATTTCTCTGTGACAGTAAATCTAATTACCAAAGATGCTGCCATTTAGGTGAAGTATTAATTAGTAATATCTGTGTATGCACATATGTATACAACACATTACTTTCAATAGGCTTTTTAATATATGATGTATTACTTATGCTTTATGACTTAACTTTTAATTTTGTTGGCGAAGATGCTTCCTATTATTAGAATTACGAGACCTGTGGTAGAAATTGTAAAATTAAAGAGCTCTATTCAATTCCAGCTAGAGATAAACTCTAAAATCTACAGACTGCTTTAAAGAAAACTCGATTCTCACAAAAGTTTTAAAATAGATTTGCTTTCCAATTTTCCACATTAATTATCTTAAAGTTTAGTTATCAAATTTAATAAAGCTATTAGTCATTGCGTCCATTTTTACTAGTTTGAGATAACCCAAAAACTAAAATCCAGGATGTGATATAATCTGATCTCAAAATTTTAAATTTTCTAATATGGCCCAAAAAATGTTTTGTAAACTGTCAAATATTATCAAATTACCTTATATAGAATCAAAGCAAAAAAATTAAAATGAAAAGGTTCTATGGGATACCACAATATAAAAGAACATTCCTTTTAGCACTGCATCACCCACTATTAAATTGATGTCATTTGCAAATACAACATGTCTTAAACATTTTATTTATGAAAGCTTAAATAGACTTCCATATACAATACACTGTAACTATTTTGATATTACTTTAAGCTGCTTAAAAGTAGATGTTAACTATACCAAATCAGTTTGTTTAATGCAAGAGATTTCTGATAAAAAACAGGTTTCTTAATGAAGCAGAACTATAAGATACACTAATAAGGATGCTGAAGAAAAGTTAAGTTCAGGTAATCTTCAACAATAGAAATCATCCAGAAGAGTAGATAACAGTAGATATTTGCTAATCTGAAGACCAAAGTAAGACTTTATATTTTTGGTCCTTCCATTTCACATTCTAGCATTTTGGCACAAAATGAAGATGGGTCATAAAATTTATATTTTCAGGGTTGGTGTTTAAAAATATGAAATACTTTGACCAATCACAGAAGAATGTATGACTTACAATTATTCTGTCAGTTTAAATAATAGGGAAAAAATACATAGTAGTGACTATTTATTGTGTAGACACTTTAATTCTCCTCTTCACATTTTCCACAGCTATCATCAACCAGGTCTCTCAGACAAGATAAATGGTGCAGAGTCTTTTGAAGTGACCTAGTAATAGGAATCATACTTTTTTCCAACTGTGATTTAGAGAAATCATCTTCTGAAACTTGCTTAATCTCTTTTTTGGGCTCTGTGGTTTTACTCTGATTGAAACTTTCTTTTACTGCTTGAAGATTAAATAACATTTGCTTCAGGGCTTCAACAGGACCATGATGTTTGCCTCCAGAAAGGGTACAACTCTGATTATCATTATTTAAAAAGTCTTCAAGAACCCCGTTAGGGTACTTGGCCCTTGAAATTTGTTGAGGGCTATCATCAGTTCTGTGTTCAATGAACTCAGTCTTTCAAAGCATTTCTTGTTTTTTTTTTTTGTTTTTTTGTTTTTTTTTTTTTTTTGCTCATTCGGTGACCATGTCCAACATAAGTGAAAGAAAATGATCCATCTGCTGGGAGTTTTAGTAGATCATCAGTTGTCATCAGTTGTTAGGCTGATAGAGTCTATATCATTCATAGTCTATCTTCTAGAGGATATGGAGTTGGAGTGCTTTTTGTGGTTAGAATTTTCAAAAGCATTGTGTGTTTTATAGATATAGTTGGAGAACTGTGGCATATTTGTAGAATCCTTGTCAATATTAATTTGTCCAGTGCTTGCACCAGGATATATTTGGCTTAGATCAAAATCATCAGTATAGGCTTGTAGAGCCTGTGAAGCAGAATTATAGAGTTTATCTTTGTATTGAAAAGAGCCATCAGAGTTAGAGGAATCTTTACCACTCAGGCTGCAGCTTGCTAGAAGAGAAGATATTGAAGATTCCCTGGAACATATTCTATGTTTTGTGTTTGATTTTGCCATGATTTCTTCAAAATGAGTTATTTCTATTCATTTCCCTTAAAAACGACATTTCCTCCACAAACGCTTCACTCTGAATCTCCAAAAGCAAATCCATCATGCCGAAGGACAGAGTTAAACTTATGGGAAGAAATCTCAGCTACCAACTAGGGCACCGGAAGAGAGGAAAACACATACTTCTCAACCCTCGGCCCAAGTGACTTCTTTACTTTCTATTTCTCTGTCTTTCTTTGTCTTTCCAATGAGTGCACATGCCCTATAGCAAGAATCTAAAAAAAAATATGCATATTATACATTATTAAAAATAATTTAAGAAGTTTAAAAATTTAAGAAAACTTTTTCCATGACTTCAGTTTCCCTAAAGCTTTTATGCAAACTGCCAAACTTATCTTAATTGAGCAATGGAGATCACCTAGAATAATTCCCCTAGAGTCCAGAATAAGTCTATTTTTCATCTCTAACTAAACTTTGTAATTGCAATGAACTCTTCAGGATTAAAATTCTTTGATTGAAATAATAGTAATTAACCTCTTTCACCCCATAGTCCCAGGAGCCATTCTCAATTAAATCACTAAGTGCAAACAAGAGCTTCAATTTCAAGAGCTTTGGATTTATTGTTTATTTTAATAGAGCAAAGGAAACATCACATCCAAGAGACAAAAATCAAGGTAGAAGTTTAATGTATCATTGATCTTAAAGGAATTTGGCATTTTCAGAATAAATATATGAAAATAACTGGTAAGCAAATTCCAAGACAATATAATGATGAATTTTATGACAGAGTTTTACAAAGATATTATAACCTCCACAGTAAGTCTCTCAGGTTTGAAAAGTATTTGAAAAATATATTGATCATTTTTACCTTGATACATCTACATGATCCTAAATATCCTCCCCATGTTTTAAGATTTTTCTGAATCATGAATGTTCCAGTTACTCCACTAAGTTACTTAATTAGTCAAAGTAGCATGAACAACACTTCCAAAATGGAATATGGAAGTAAGATGAGCATTTCTACATTGAGTAGCTAAAATTAGATAGCAGAGTCCTGATACAGCTTTATCTGCATTACCCTTCCCTCTTTTTCTACAAAATGGAGCTGGGAGCCCCTGTAGCACCTTAATGCAAGTCTTTGAAGTAAGACAAAGCTGGAATTGAGTCTGGCTCTGCTGCACACTTGCCACGTCTTTAGGTAAGGTATTTAAACTCTGTAAATTTCATTTTTTTTGTCATTTGTAAAATGTAGATTATAAGAAGCTACCAAATATAAACCTAAAAATGTAGGACATACCCATGCCTATTTCCCACTTCAAAGGAGTACTGAACTCAAACATACAGTCCTGAAATAGACTAACATAATTACTAGCAAAATTGGAAGTAGGATATGGGTAATTCAAAACTGATTTTAGGGGTAGAAATAGGAATACAACTATCAGAAAATGATTGCTTAAAAAATTGGTATAGAAACACCAAGACTTCAAATGTAAAAATTAGCAAAAAATATTGCAGCTAAGAAATAAAAGATATATATTCTTTTCTAATGCCATTTAAGTTTCTTTTTAAACAAACAAACAAACAACAACAACAAAACTTTAACAAAGTGCCCAGCACATAATAACCGAAAATTCAATGTTCATGGGGAACACGGTTTTGGGACATGATTTTTCAAAGGTTTTGAAAACCTTTAGCAGAAGGGAATTAAAGTGTGAGTTTATTTCAAGACAAAAAATCTGAAATCCATGCATGATTTTTCCATAGTTCGCATTTTCTGTGAACTTTTCGAAAACCTTTCTCCCCTTTGTTAGCTAATAAAACAGCTATTATTTGAAGCCTAAGGTAGAAACCAAGGCCTGGTGAGGAGATGAGAACAGTGACTTGTCCATACAGGTTTCAGTGCAGGTTGCCAGAAAAAGTTTTACTTCAAGTTAATTAATTTTCTATGGATCAGAGATGACCAAAAATAAAGGAAAATACACAAATAAGCATTGTTGCCAACAACTGAAGTATTTCAAGAGTAAATAGCTTGACATTTTGTTAAGAAAAATGTCATGGACTTGGAGAGATGACCCTTGGACTCTTATCTTTTTTTTTTCTTTTACTTTTTTTGGAGAGGTTTTTGCTATAGGGTGCATGTGCTCACCAGACAGAGAGAGACAGAGACAGAAAGTGAGAAATCATCTCCCAGAGGGGATGGCCATACCACAATCCCTTCTCCTCCATTCTCCTCTTGGGATCTTGGGCTTGCATGCACATGCACCCGGCATGAGTTTAAGCCACTGGGTCTGGGACTGGAACCGCAGTCAACTATGTGGGAGTCCAGCGACATAGCCATTATGCTAACTGCTGGTCCCTCATGAAATGTTTTGAAATGAAGCTTACTTTTGGAATTAAGCATGTAACTTTTCAGCAAAAATATCAACCTCTTCTTGGAATATCAGAAAGAACTATGGCACAAAGAATGGATTCATGGAGCTGATTTTTATAACTAAAGCTTTTTGTTGTAGCTCAAATTGAGTTTTGAGCCTAAGAATGAAACACACTTTCAAAGCAAACTAAGATTCAAAACATCTTCTTGGAAAGTGCACTTAAGAGCAAACACACAAACTTGTTTGTAGCACTTACTTAATTTTAGGAGTAGAAAAACATGTGATGTACAGTTTTGGTCTACATCAATGTTTGGTTTTGGAAGACAGTTTTTCACTGTTTTTCAGTGGATGATTTGAAATGTATCTTAATTTTGAAGTTAAGCATGTAGTTTTTCAGTGAAAATCTCAACTGTTTCTTGGAATATCAGAAAGATCATTGGCTAAATACACTCATGGAGCTGCTTTTCAAACCTAAAGCTCTTTTTTGTAGCACAAATTTGAGTTTTGAGCCTAAAAATGCACCACACTTTAAAAGAAAACTAAACTTCAAAACATCATCTTGGAAAGTGCACTTAAGAGCAAACTAACACATACTTGTTTGTACCACTTTCTTAACTTTAGGAGTTGAACAGTTTGTGATGTACAGTTTTGTTCTTCATCAACGTTTGGTTATAAAATCAGTTTTATAGCGTTTTTCAATGGATGTTTTAATATGAAGCTTACTTTCGGAGTTAAGCATGTAGTCTTTCAGCAAAAGTCTCACATTTTCCTTGGAATATCCATAAGATATTTGGCTCAAAGACTCCACTCATGGAGCTGCTTTTCATACCTAAAGCTCTTTGTTGAAACTCGAAGTTGAGTTTTGAGCCTAAGAATGCACCACACTCTCAAAGCAAACTAAGCTTCAAAATATCATCCTAGACACTGCTGGTGAGAATTTAAATTAATCCAACCACTGTGGAGAACAATTTGGAGATTCTTCAGAAGTCTACAAATAGAACTACCGTATGATCCAGCAATCCCACTCCTTGGCATATACCCAAAGGACAATGAAGAATTCTTTATTGGAAAAGTGCTTGCATATTGATGTTTATTGTAGCAATTTTTGTGATTGCTATGACATGGAACCATCCCAAATGTCCCCCTACAGATGAATAGATTGAAAAATTGTGGCACATATACTCTATGGAATACTATTCTGCCATAAAAATGAACAAAACCCTGGCTTTTGACAGAAAGTGGAAGAACATGAAAGATTTACTGCTGAGTGAAGCAAGGCAGGATATGAAGGAGAGACATTGTATGTCCCCACTTAATATATACTGAGTGTCTGCACTCTATGACTGAAACTTATGGGCTAAAGGATCTACAAACATAAGAAATGTGTGTGAATACCAGATGTGGTGTGTGTGGAGGAGTGGGGCCTGGGGAAGGACATTTGGAGGAGGGATATGGAGACAGAGCATTGTCGGGATAGGGAGGTAGTCTTGTTATATTTTAATCAACTGTACTGGGGAGAAATGTTCACATATTGAAATGTTCACTTTGTAAGCTAAATAATGTGATTGAATGTTTAAAAAATGTAAATAAATAAATAGATGAAATAAAAAAGTTATCCTAGAAAGCGCACTTAAGAATAAACTGACACAAATTTGTTTGTACCGCTTAATGAACTTTAGGAGTAGAATAACTTGTGATGTACTGTTTTGTTCCTCAATGTTTGGTTTTGGAAGAAGTTTTACAATGTTATTCAATTGATGTTTTAAAATGAAGCTTAAAGTCGAAGTGAAGCATGTAGTTTTTAAGCAAAAAAATCTCAACTTTTTCTTGGGATATCACTCTGGCACAAAGACTCCACTCATGGAGCTGCTTTTCATACCTAAAGCACTTTGTCGTAGCACAAACTTGAGTTTTGAGCCTAAGAATGCACCACACTTTAAAAGCAAACTACTCTTCACAATCTAAATGATGTATAGTGATTTAATATATGAATAATAATTTTTTAAAAATTCAAAAATATATGACAAACCCTTACCACCCAAAAAAAGAAACTAGGAAGCCTGTCTTCCCCTCACCACTCCAAGCATTCTCTATACAAATACGAAGTGTTTATATGTATCAAATAAAGGTGATTTTTTTGTTCTGAAAAAAAAATAATAAAAGCAAACTAAACTTCAAAACATCATCTTGGAAAATTTACTCATGAGCAAACAAACACAAACTTTTTTGTACCACTTTCTTATCTTCAGGAATTGAACAATTTCTGATGTACAGTTTTGCTCTACATCAACCTTTGGTCTTAAAATCAGTTTTATACTGCTTTCCAATGGACGTTTTAATATGAAGCTTACTTTCTGAGTTCAGCATGTAGTCTTTCAGTGAAAATCTCAACTTTTCCTTGGAATATCCAAAAGATCTTTGGCTCAAAGACTCCACTTGTGGAACTGCTTTTCATACCTTAACCTCTTTCTTGTAGCTCAAAGTTGAGTTTTGAGCCTAAGAATATACCACACTTCCAAAGCAAACTAAGCTTCAAAACATCACCTTAGAAACTGCACTTAAGGCAAACTAACACAAACAGGTTTGTACCACTTACTTAAGTTTAGGAGTTGAATAACTTTTGATTTACAGTTTTGT